AAAATAGTGGACTGTCGCATAGTGTAATTTACAAGGCGAACTTAGCACAGTGCGTAGGCAACTGGCTGAGTCAGTGGGATCGTCGGTTCGAATCCTACTGAAAGAAGTCTGATGAGGAAATGTGGTGATTTCCGAAATAGCTATCACTTCTACCATTTTTTCAAATTATTGTTGCTTTTCCACAATAANCTCAATAAAAATTGTGAATTAAAATAGGCAATTACTAAAAATTTAGTGATTTCAGAAGATTTTGTTAACAGATTATAACTTATATATAATTCTATAGAATTCTATTTGATGATTACATCCAAATTAGTAGGAAATATGTATACCTGGTTTCAAATTCTGCAATAAACCTTTGCTAGATTTTGCTCGAATTTTACTCACCGCTAATCAATCATGGCAGTTTCAGGAAATTCACTCTTTGAAGATTGGCTAAAGAGCAAGAGAGAAGAAAAAATGGTCCCGTACTTAATTATATTTTGAGTTTAAGTGGCATATTTAAGCTGTTTTGTTATAGTCAGTAAGAATTGTTATTCATTTTACTGAATTTAATTAAATAGGATGTGAATATTAAATAAATTCTGTAGCTTTTGACCACCATTTAACAGGGCCAAAAGAACTGTATTTATCAGAATATGCTTGGTACAATATGCCAGTGAGTGTACATAAAATTGTGTTTCACGGAAAGGATATAACCGCGTATTCTATTCTTCCTATTGGTCAACTTTCGGAAGAATCTCAAGGGTCAAGAAATAAAGATGTATGAAATTATCGTGAACATTTCACTAGAAAGCAAAGGTTATGCGTTGAAATATTATACTTTTAAATGCAACCCTGCTTGTGTAACAATGCGACTGTTTCACTCTCATGTCCATGTTAAGTATACCATTAATTTACTCCCGAATTAAACGTTGAACAGTGAACATCGTATTTTTATTTCATTGCGATTTATATTTATTTGGGTAACCACGATTTTTCATCAGGTTATGGGCCAGATCGCGCGTGGCCTAGTAAAAACTAAAACATACAAATACGCAAAGCAACATGAGTTCGAGGTACCAAATCGAGAAGCTGGACGAAAAGAATTGTGATTGTTGGAGCGTTCAGATGCGAAGCGTGTTAGTGCATGCTGAATTGTGGAAGGTGACATCGGGGGAGTCCAAGCGGGAAGTTGTGAGTGGTGACGAATTGTCAAAGTGGATAGCACAGGCTGAAAAGGCTTTGGCCATGGTCACATTAAGTGTGAAGCCGTCACAGTTAAATTATTTGCGGCATTGCAAGTCAGCGGTGGATGCATGTAAGCGACTTAAAAACGTCTACCAGCCAAGCGGCCCTGTGAGAAAAGTTTCGCTATACAAAAAGTTGCTGAGTCTCAAAATGACAGAGGGTGAGAATGTAGCTGCTTATTTGAATAACTTTCATTTCATTTATTAATCAATAAACAATGTATTTACAGACTATATTACAAATTTATAAAACAGGATGACGCAAAAAATAAAAAATATAAATATATAACATGGTTATCATAACAAATGAAGAAGAATAAGCATTGAATTGACATAGCACCTTCCTTAAAGGTGTGTTCATGCCATAAACGGTTTTTGCTAAGCCAACATAAAATGATTCATTGCAACGAAGAGTACGTGGAGGAACATTAAAACCAATTCTCATAAGAAGGAATGGACAATCAATAGGAAGTAGGTACCAGTCTTAATAGCTTAGCATAGGAGGTATAATGACATTTACTAATATTAAGGAATAGACAATTACGCATACACCAATTGTATAAAATGTCGAGCTCAGCCTGGAGAGTTAGTGAATCTTGCGGGCAACTAATTTCATAATAAATCTTCAGGTCATCAGCATACAGCAAGAAGTTAGATTTAGAGAAACAAGAGAAAATATCATTAATAAAGAGCAGAAATAATAAAGGACCCAAGATACTCCCCTGGGGAACACCTGAGGAAGCAATGAACGAACGGGAAGATACGTTTTCAATTACGACAACACAGCGCCTCTTACTTAAATACGATATAATCCACTTCAAGAAAGCAGAGTGGAAGCTTAGTCTCGCCAGTTTAGCTATCAAGATACGGTGAGATACCCTATTGGAGGCCTTAGAGAAATCCGAGTAGACGGCATCAATTTGGAATCCCTTTTGAAAGGTTGCCAAACAGTCCTCCGTAAATACCGCTAAGTTAGTTACCGTTGATCTGCCCGGGATAAATCCATGTTGATTAGGACATACCACGTGCTTAGTATCACAGTATATTTTGTCTTTCACGATACATTCGAACAGCTTAGAGACAGAAGTGAGCTTGGAAATCGGCCTATAGTTCGCTATATCATTTTTATTACCAGTTTTGAGAATCGGGGTAATGAAAGCCAGTTTCCAGTCGTCGAGAAACACCCCATCAGCCAATGACATATTAAATATATGTCACAAAGGCTCGATAAGAGAGGGGCAGCTTTTTAACAAGATAACCGAGCGGCCATCGGCGTCAGTATTAGTGGAATACTTTAAATTAGTTATGCCATTAACAACATCCTCATAAGACAAAAATAAGTTACCGAAGTTGAGAGAATTATTAGAGTTTAAAGAAAGGTACTCAGGAGCAACACTATCCGAGTTATCTAAAATAAAATTGGACGAGAAAAAGTCAGCAAAAAGATTGACAGCATCCAAAATAGAGTTAGCTGAAACATCATCTAGTTGAACTGAAGCGGGAATATTTAAGCAATTCCTTTTCGACTTTATGTAACTCCAGAAAAACTTAGGATTTCTTTTTATGTTACTTTCAACATTGTGTATGTAATTTCTATATGAAGATTTATTCAGCTTGTTAAATTTAGCTCTATAAAACACATAACGTTCGCGCATATTAGCGTCGTTTCCTTAAAATTCCTTAGACGTTTGAGCTCTTTAGAGAACTAAGGGGGCTTAAAAGTTTTAGAGTGTAATTGTGGAATATTTTTTAGACAAACATCGTAAACGTTAGACTTAAAAATATCGAAACAACTAGTTACATCCTTCTTCCCAAAAAGCTGAGACCAATCTAAAACCAACAAATTATTATTCAACTCAGTAAAATCACAAAGAGAGTAATTAAAAGCTACCCTCTGGATGCCAGTAGGTAACTCAAAAAATTCAATTTCCAACACTAATGGAGTATGGTGCTGATTTGGAGGAGAGATGTAACTAGATGCATGCGAAAGTTTAAAGTTAATATTATAGCTAACAAAAATCAAATCCAAAATTCGGCCTTATTCGTTATTATCAATAAAATATGATTCCAAAACACTATTAACGTTAAATGGAGTGAGAAAATTATTATTATCTAAATAGCTCCAGGAGATATTGTTTAAGTTAAAATCGCCTAGAACGC